CCCCCGAAGGGTTGCCTCTCAGGGTGCTCTCGCTCGCTCTCTTTCTCTCTTTCTCTCTTTCTCTCTTTCTCTCTTTCTCTCTTTCTCTCTTTCTCTCTTTCTCTCTTTCTCTCTTTCTCTCTTTCTCTCTTTCTCTCTTTCTCTCTTTCTCTCTTTCTCTCTTTCTATCTTTCTCTCTTTCTCTCTTTCTCTCTTTCTCTCTTTCTCTCTTTCTCTCTTTCTCTCTTTCTCTCTTTCTCTCTTTCTCTCTTTCTCTCTTTCTCTTTTCTCTCTTTCTCTCTTTCTCTCTTTCTCTCTTTCTCTCTTTCTCTCTTTCTCTCTTTCTCTCTCTCTCTCTCTCTCTCTCTCTTTCTCTCTTTCTCTCTTTCTCTCTTTCTCTCTTTCTCTCTTTCTCTCTTTCTCTCTTTCTCTCTTTCTCTCTTTCTCTCTTTCTCTCTTTTTTCTCTTTCTCTCTTTCTCCCTTTCTCTCTCTCTCTCTCTTTCTCTCTTTCTCTGTTTCTCGCTCTCTCTCTCTCTCTGTTTCTCTGTTTCTCTCTTTCTCTCTTTCTCTCTTTCTCTTTTTTCTCTCTTTCTCTCTTTCTCTCTTTCTCTCTTTCTCCCTTTCTCGCTTTCTCTCTTTCTCTCTTTCTCTCTTTTTCTCTCTTTCTCTCTTTCTCTCTTTCTCTCTTTCTCTCTTTCTCTCTTTCTCTCTTTCTCTCTTTCTCTCTTTCTCTCTTTCTCTCGTTCTCTCGTTCTCTCGTTCTCTCGTTCTCTCGTTCTCTCGTTCTCTCGTTCTCTCGTTCTCTCGTTCTCTCTTTCTCTCGTTCTCTCGTTCTCTCTTTCTCTCTTTCTCTCTTTCTCTCTTTCTCTCTTTCTCTCTTTCTCTCTTTCTCTCTTTCTCTCTTTCTCTCTTTCTCTCTTTCTCTCTTTCTCTCTTTCTCTCTTTCTCTCTTTCTCTCTTTCTCTCTTTCTCTCTTCCCTTCCTTACTTCCTTCCTTCCTTCCAGAGCACGGGGCGCGCTTAACAAAATCCGTTTGTGCGAAACTGACGCCATTCTCTCTGTTTCTCTCTCTTCCTCTCGGGGCTCCCGTGGGGTCTCTTCTTCTTCTTCTCCACGCTTAGGAGGACCCCCGAAGGGAGACCCCCGGCCGCGACGGCCGAGCGGTACACTGTCGGTCGAAGCCCCAACCTTGTGGGGACTTTGTGTGCTTGTCACCCAGTTGATTTCATTGGTGGCATCAGGGTTTTAGTCGGCACTGTTCCCCTCTGGCCTATCTCTCTCTCTCTCTCCTGCTCCTCCTCCTCCTCTTCTTCTTCTGCACGCTTTATGGTCCCCCTCTCTCTCTCTCTCTCTCTCTGCGCACCTACCCCCTCCCCATTGGAACGGGGGGTTGCTGGTCCTACCGAGTGACCGAGACGCTGGAGCCTTCAGGACACATGCTGTTGTAGTTCTGCAATACACTAAGGGACCATGCCTCCCTTCCGCTCCCTGTCGGGTTTGTTCCCCACTATGGACGAACACGAACCCCGACCTGTGGGATGATAGGTTATGCCGGTTATGCTTTCTGCTATGCAAGCCGAGCTGTGGGCTGTTCAGGGCGGCTGCGTGGTGAAACTTGGGGGTGAGGGCCTGGGACGAAAGCTAGAAAAGGTACCCCCACGGAAGAGCTTCCGTCAAGATGGCATCAACTACGCAGCAGGACAAGCACACGCAAAGGCAGCAGGCCGTGTTGGTGTGTTGCTTTGCTCTGCGGTGTTTTAGCATCTTCCGGAGGGCTCTTTTTTGAAACGCATGACACCACAACAGATGTTGCACTCACCAGGGGAACCTGTCCAATCCAGCTTTGAGGGACGCCGGACTCACGTCAACATCAAGGCTTCTGAGTCTTTTCTTGGGGGGCTCTTCTGTTAGCATCTTCCGGAGGGATCTTTTTTGAAGGCTTCTGAGTCTTTTCTTGGGGACTTGGGGGGCTTTTCTAGGGCCTGGGATCCACAGAAAACGGCGTTCATTTGCACCCAATATACGGAAGAAATGAACACCAGCCCGTTTCCCCAAAACCTGTGTTTGCCACCCGGAAACCGACCGGGTTTGCTGCGTTTCGTGGCGGAGTTTCGGGGGCCCTGTATACCCATCAGGTTGTAAGCTTCGCTGCTTCGCTTAAGCAAGATACTCCGCTAGCTCCTCAGGGGCTAGCTTTCGTGATATACGTTTTCCTGTTTCCATCTGAGCATTTCCCCGAATGGGTGTTCTTGTACTGCCCGTGCCGGTCTCTCTTCTTTCTTGGGGGCTCTCTCTCTCTCTCTCTCTCGCTCTCTCTCGCTCTCTCTCCTCAGGCGGCGAGAAGGCAAAGGGTTCAGGCAGGCGGGGGGCCACGAGCTGGCTGTAGCGGTTGTGCACGAGATCAGCTTTCCCCCAAGTCACCCTCTCGATCATGAACACAACCCCTTTTATGATCGCCGCCTGCGTTGCCGATGATCTTTGGGACTACACTTTAGAACAGCGTGTTCAACCTGCTCGTTTGGGGTTCTGCCTCAATTGCCACTCGGCTGCTTCTTGTTGATCTATTTTGCCCCTATGCCGTTTCATCCACACACTTCTTCATCCCCAACCGTTCCGGCCAGTTCTCCTCAGTTCTCGAGTTCCTGGCTGCTATCATCTTCAGTCACGCTCGGTCAGTTCTTCGGCACCTTGGGCCGCAACAACCTGCTTAGCCAGCCCGACCAGCCCGGGGCAGCACACTGTTGTGGTCAGGCTTGGTGCTGATGCCCCCGCAACGACTTACGCATGCCCGACACCGCTCCAAGGCCAAGTCCGGGCTGGTTGGGGCTGTGACTTCACCTCCTGTAGACAGAGTTTCTTCCTTTTCCTGGCATTGTGCGGCAATTGTGCGTGAGCAGAAAAGCTGACACGATTTGAAGGGCTCCGATGCTTTTTCGACACTTTAAAGATGGAAGGATTGCTATCACCGTCATGTGCTGGTTTGGAAGTCTGGGAACTGGCCAGCTATGCAGGCACTGGCAGATCGTGCCTGAAAAATTGTCGGGTTGAGCTCAGGACTGCCCCATCTGTATTGTCATTGTGAACGCCAGGTTCATTCACCCTACACCTGAAAAAACAAGTCTACATCCTGCAACTCAGGACAAGGGCCCCGGCCAGTCATCAGTCTCACCTTCGCAGTTGTAAGGCTCGCAGCCTTTGTTCTTGTTGTGGCAGCACCAGTCCTGCAAGTATGGACACGAGGCTCAACAGAAGCAATGCCACCAAGGATTTAGGCGCATTCCGTTGACGCCTCACATCACCCCACAGACCGTCCTTCTTGGACCTTGACCAACCATGCTTCCAGTTGGAGAATCCAGCATTGCAATCATAGATGTTGCCGGTAGCATGGCCTCTATGCTCAAACAAGAAAGAACAGAGAAAGAACACAAACTGTATAGCTGGCGTGTCACAATGCTCAGCAAGGCACAGGACTACCTATGAAACACATGCCGTCCTCTCTGAGGACAACAAACGACTGGCATACCCACATGCAATTGTCAGTATGCATACGCACGAGCTTTCTACTCGGTGGACTCAGCTGTGTAGATTGCACAACAGCCTGCTCTTGCGGCTCACTGGGCATGCTACAACCCTGGCCTGCGTGGTGATGGACGACCACGTGCAATTGCCCCTTGATGTATCCCTTCCAGGTGCCGGGGCACCCTTTATGATCGTGGCCACAACACCATGTCTTCTTCTTCCTTTGCTGCTTCTTAGCACGGTGGAAATTGCACAGTTGAGGTCTTCGAGACGTGTTGATTAAAGCAACTGAAGGGTACAACCGAGACTCGGAGACCAGCCGTAGTACCAGTTTGAGTACCCCGAGTTGCAGTCAAAATCAGAGTGATCGACATGCTTGTGGACCACGTCAGTGACATCCTTGTAGATGATCTGCGCTGGCATCTTGACCTCCCACAGCTGCGGAACTGCGTTTGAGATGGTTTAACGACTTCTCAAGGTCGTGATCTGTCAGGTAACTCGAACTGCTGTCCTTGTGCTTCTTTGTCCTGTACATCATGCACCCATGCAAGGCAAACCCACCTTTGCAACATAAGTGCACAGAGACCTTGGGCCTGTTCTTCGGAACTGAGCCTAACCTTCGCCCTGACCCAGAGTGGATCTGCACCTGACGCTTCACGTACTTGGTGTGGTAGACCTGCCAATTCGGTTCGCACTAGCGGGTTGGAGCAGCCCCCAAGACTCATCGTTCGCGGAGAACCAAGGACTTGAGCCGAAGAGCGGTGTGGTTCGTGACAATGGTATGGCCGTGGGGGCAGCCGATCTGCGTCCTGTAGCAGCAGTAGAGCCTGGGCTAACAAAGTCGTTAAATTGAGCGGTTTCCGGTTTAGGGTTTAGGGCCCTTTTGGATTTCATGGCAGGTCCGAGGCTGACATCATCGCCCAGCATCCACATCCAGGTGAGTTTGCAGTCGCCAGTCGCCGGTGCTGCCACAGCAGCAGAGCACCCGCAAACCCTCACCCCCTACAAGGGTTCAGCACACTGCTTGTCAAAACAAAAAAAGAAAAGCTGCCAAGTAAGGCTCTGGAGCCGTTTCTCTTTCCCCCAGACACCTCTCCTTGGTTCTTCGAGGTTTGGGGGCAGCTGTCGGCCTGAAACTCCCTTTCTGCTCCTCAGAAGCAAACCGGAAGCCCTTCGTTTGAATGATTGAACTATCAATCCCCACCCCGTGTCGGCAACCAAAGAGTAGATAGATGCATATAGTATCTCTAACCGATCCCCCCCCCCAAATAAGTCTAATCAGACCAAGAGTCCAATGGTGCATACCATCGTGGCAGTCGTAAGCCTCGGACATGACGTGCTCATTCTTGACGATGATCTTCGGCTTGCTCTCCTTCTGAAGCTCAGGCTCTGAAAGGGGCCCTGTCCCCGAAAGGAAAACCCAAAAAACACACATTTTGGAGATTCATGACCATTGATACAGGAGGCAAGGGGGCGGATTCAACTTGGCTCAGTGTACCCTTGACTACCACGACCACAATGACACCGATTGGGATCAAGCCCCTCCTGCTCCACAGGATACTTCACATAGTGCACCACTGGGACTGGCTTTTTGATCACCCGGGTCTTGTGAATGATCTGCTCCACCGGCTTTTGAACTTTGTAGTGAATCACCTGGCGACGGATACTACAGACTGGGGACTTCTCTACAGACGCTCTCTAGAATTCTCAAGTGGAGCAAGAGCAGCCCCAAAGCACGCAACCGTGTGCACAACTTTCTGAGAAAATTGCAGCTGCAAACCCTCTGTGTCTCGATGCATGCCAGGCACTTTGGTCACGTCCTTCGCTGGTGGACCCGGTGCAGGTACCGGAACCTTGACGACCAAAAACAGCAGCGCATAAACACAGAAAGCCCTTGCTCTCTCTGCCCCAGTACAAGCCTTGCAGGTTTTTGGAGCCGACCGTTTCACCTTTGTCCTTTTACCCCAGGACATGCCTTGCAAAAGACCTCACATCCCAAACCCTAACGCATCCCTAATTCACGCCCAACCCTGAAAGAGCCGCAAAAAACAACAACGAGGGCCCGCCTTGACATGGATGACCTGCCAAGGATGCAGGCCGAAAGGACTTGTACGTTGGGCTGTAGGGAACGTTGCATTCTGCGTCTGAAAGGATGCGCTTCGGGCCTCAACTCAACTCTTTTGACCCCGTCTTGGGACACCTGCCTTCGGCGGCTCGGGCTTCTCATAGTCTTTGATCTTGATGATCTTTCGCGGCCCTGCGGCGATTGGCACTGCCTCGCATGTCAAAGGAAGCGAAAAAAAGCACTGGTGTCCTTCGCACTTCGCCCGGAAACCCTCTGACAGTCTGAACCCCTAAGCCCTGTCGTAAATCAGCCACCAGCCCCACACTGCACATACCCTAAACCCCAAATCCCTAAGCCCAATATATCAGACTCCAACATCTGGAGGCTTGCGCAGATGGGAGGTTGAGTTAACTTGCGGGGACAGACTAAAGGGTTTGACAAAGGTTCGTCGGCGGTTTAAGCGTTTCGGCAGCCCCTCGCAAGGGATGTGAGTGTTGGGTGGGGGAGGTGTGTTGTTCCTCTGGTCAATCCAGGCTTGGGACTCCTAGAAGCTACTCTCCACGCTCCGAGGCAAGTGACGATGGTCTTCGTAACTGGCACAGGGACCTCTTTCGTGTGGACGACCGTGTGATACTTGACATGCTTGACATACTGGGTCGTGCACGACCGTTTGTACTTGTAACAGCAGTAGCGCTGCTTCTGCGTGTCCCACAACCTTGTTTGTGCAAAAAAGCTTCTGCAAGCCCCATTACATGAACAATCAAACAAAACACTTCTCAAGAACTCCGGGCAACTTCTTGTAGTTCGAGTACCCTTTGAAACAGTCATGAAGCGGCTTGGCGGGAAGTTCTACTGACTTGTACTGCACCGGTCCGGCGACAGGGATGGGCTTGTGAATGATGTGTGTCTTGGTTTGCACATCATAGTAGTTCTTCTCGATGATGTGCTTCACTGCGTGTCCGTACTGTGACGAGCCATCCCCTTCTGCGGCATCGCCTGATCCATCCACGACACCGTGCCCATGTCCACCACCAGCCACCCAGTGGCCATTAACATAGTAACCCACATGCGCACCGCCGCCATAGTAAGTACCATGTGCACCATGTCCATGGTAATGACCATCCACATAGGAGCCACCGTGGCCACCAATTGCGCCACTGCCGCTGCCATCCACATAGTGATGATGCACATAGGAGCCACCGTGGCCACCAATTGCGCCACTGCCGCTGCCATCCACATAGTGATGATGCACATAGGAGCCACCGTGGCCACCAATTGCGCCACTGCCGCTGCCATCCACATAGTGATGATGCACATAGGAGCCACCGTGGCCACCAATTGCGCCACTGCCGCTGCCATCCACATAGTGATGATGCACATAGGAGCCACCGTGGCCACCAATTGCGCCACTGCCGCTGCCATCTACCCAGTGATGATGCACGTAGTAGCCACCGCTGCCGCTGCCATAGTAGCCGTCCGAGCCGTCACCGTTCGATCCGCTGCCATAGTAGCCGTCCGAGCCTCCATTTGAACCGCTGCCACCGCCGCCATAGTAGCCGTCCGAGCCGTCACCTTTCGAACCGCTGCCACCGCCGCCATAGTAGCCGTCCGAGCCGTCACCTTTCGAACCGCTTCCACCGCTGCCATAGTAGCCGTCCGAGCCGCCTCCATTTGAACCGCTGCCACCGCCGCCATAGTAGCCGTCCGAGCCGCCTCCATTTGAACCGCTGCCACCGCCGCCATAGTAGCCGTCCGAGCCGTCACCTTTCGAACCGCTTCCACCGCTGCCATAATAGCCGCCCGAGCCGCCTCCATTTGAACCGCTGCCATAGTAGCCGTACGAGCCGGAACCACCGTAGTACCCTGCGCCGCCAAAATGTCCATAGTGTCGATACTCGGGCGGCAGGGAGGCCTCATCACCACCAATTGGGCCCATGCCATGACGATATTCGGGAGGCAGCGAGGAATCATCACCGCCAATTGGGCCCATGCCAGAGTGGCGATGTTCAGGAGGGAGCGAGGAATCGTCACCGCCAATAATGTGACCGCCCTCCGGCAGAGACGGATCGCTGGCACCAACAACGTCAGGGCTCGATGTTTTCGATGAATGGCTCTGTAAGCGTCTGCCGTTGTGCTGAATCTCGGTATTGGGAGTGTCCTTGGAGGCCAAGTCGCAGTGAGCCGCATATGGCTCATCTACAGCGAAAACGATGGGCACGGACATGTTCTTTCAGGGCTTTAAGTTTGTTTCAAGACATGGTCCCGCAAACATGGCTAGCTACTTCGAGATTCATATCTTGGCAAGCAAGGGCACCAAGACGAAACTCTCATATTCATGAATCCCACCCCTAGGCTACAGGCATGTCCTTCCGTCAAACAGCTGAAAACCCAAGTCCAGAATGCTAGCGACTGCGAGACAACCCCCGAAACGCTACAGTAAGGCTCAAACCCTGCAACATGCATAGACGAACAGCAGCAGCTTATCTGAATGCTATCATAATATGCATTCTATGCTATCTTTCCACTGGCTCCTCATAGCAGAACCGTCATCTGTCAGTGGGAAGACAAGCAAGGACCATCCCTAAACCCAGTGCCCTGAATGGCGAGGAGAGCCCCAAATCCTTATCCATGTGTGAAGTTGTGTGACGCTGAACTCAGGTCAAGCGACGAAAGCAGCATCCATCCTCGGCCCACGCTGCGAAACCAAGGGTTTAGGGCTTAGAGGGTTAGACTCTCAGATCTTTCCAATGGATCTTTCAAGGCTGCCTTGTCAAGATAGGGTTGGATAGGGTTTAGGGTGTGTCAGGCATTTGAGAACTGTTCGGGTTCATGGCTTCGAGCTTGCGGGGCTTCGGGGCTTCGAGGCTTCCAGGCTGGAGGGTTAAGCATGGCCACAGGCGCACGGCTCGATCCTCAGGGAGACAAGGGGTTGCCCGTCCCGTGGAGCGGAGGGGGTCTAGAGGGTCCACGGCCACGGCGAGTTTATCCCGTCAGGCTCCGCGTTTCGGAAGTGTTGAACTCTCTCGTGTACTTCTCTTGGTCTTTCAGGAAATTCCCCCCGAAATGGGCTCTCAGGTGGGCTGACCTTGCGGTCGACGTCGCGCGGGCACTTGACTCTGCCCCCATTCCACTACGATTCTATCTCAACGCCTGCGAACTCCTTGCACAATTTTGTCCAGCCTTCTTTAGTCGGTTCACTTTAGGGCACCCCAGCCCCGGAACCTTGCTTGCCGAGACGCTTGAAGCCAAAGCACAACCTCAGCTTTCTGCGACCTAAACCCTTCAAACCGCTAGCCGAAATGCAGGGCAGCACCTAGCCCTGCACGGGGTTTAGATTGGGCTTTCAGGTAGGTTCGCGGTTGAGATGATGCAGTGTAGGGTTTAGGGCATTTGGCATTTGGGGATATTTTCGGTGTTTGGGAGGGTTGGGAGCGCAAGCCCATCCCTCCAACTCTGCTCGGGGGCAGGGTCCCGAGGACGCCCAACAGGAGCAGGGCGCCGGAGGGGCGCAGCCTCAGCGACACGTGCTAGATAGGCCTTGGCTTTAATGGCTGTGAAGGGTTTCTCAGGTTTGGGGCTGAAACTTCGAGATTTTCGTTGTTTTCGGCTGGCCGTGCGGAGCCAACGGGCCCACCCAATACCCTCAGACCGAACAACACGAAGGCCCCGCCCCCGAATCCACATAAACCGCCAACCTCCAACTGGGGAAAAGGGAGGGGGAGGGGGGAGGGGGGAGGGGGAGGGGGGGCGCGGGGGGGGGAGGGGGAGGGGGGGGGGGAGGGGGGAGGGGGTGGGGGGAGGGGGAAGGGGGAGGGGGGAGGGGGGAGGGGGAGCTTGAGAGGTTTGTGCAGCTACGTGACGTGACTCCCGAACAGAAGCAACTTGGCTCCACTGCACAGCCTCCTCAAACACTCAGAACCCTTCCTCTTTTCCTGGCCAGAGCCTCCCAGATGTTCGTAAACCCACCCCCAAAAAAGTCCGAACGTGCCGAGACCCCGGCCGAAGACCTGAGGAGAAACAGCGACGCTTAGAGCTTTAGAGACTGCTTCAGGCTACTACCCGTGCTCCCACAGGTCACAAGGCGAGGGTTTCTGCACTTCTTGCAGGGCCTTGTTTGTTTCTGAAGGTCCCGGATGAAGCCACACAAACAAACAAACAAACAAACAAACAAACAAACAAACAAACAAACAAACAAACAAACAAACAAACAAACACACACACACACACACACACACACACACACACACACACACACACACACACACACACACACACACACACACACACACACACCCACACGCGCGCGCGCACACACACACACACACGCGCACGCGCACGCGCGCGTGCCGGCCGCATTCTGTTTGAGCTCTGGGAATCTTGGTGGGTCAGAAATGATCCACCGGGTGGTGCTTTGAGGGTACTTGGCGTAGAAGCAAGCGTTACGGTATGGAGATACTGTGGAGCTCATGCTATTTGACCCCCGATAGAGGCGCCCAAGACAGGACAAACACGTCAGAGCTTGGTTTGCCACCTGAGAAGGCTGACCCAGGCTCCTTGGACTCACCACGCCTGGCAAAGGGCCGAGGCCACCTACCCGTGGCTTGGCAATCTGGGCCTAAACCCGTCAAACTTGTGCAGCCCTGAACCCCCATGTTGGTTCGTCCCCTGATTGCCAGGAGGTTCGGGACTGATGGGACGTGAGTTTGAATTTCCTTTTCCGGTAGGAAGATGATCCTGAAGCCCCAGACCCTCACCCCCAACCCGCGCCAGGGTGACAAGTCGATGTAAGCGCCTTGGGCTGGGCTTTTGGCAGCTTGTTAAGGCTTGGTCGTTGCTTGCTTGCCACAGGCGTTGACTGTCGGGCTAGTGAACTTGCTCGATAAGTAGGTTTCCTGCTGGTCCTACATTCCGAAAGGCCAAATGCGTTCAAAGTCACCGCGACCGTCCTCCACTTCATCGGCGCTGACACCTGCACACTCCGCAAACTCACAAGGGAACCTGCTTTTCGCACTCGGTCGGGCACTTGCAAGTGGAAGCCCCAGACATGTCAACCACATCACAAGCTTGTAAACCTTGCATGGTGCATAGACCGTGCGATGCTTGACGAGAGCAAAGCTACCTGCCCTCCCATCCCCGCCACCAGCGGCGCTTATCGTCCGCGGTGACCTTGTTCGAGCCAGGCAGGCGTCTAATGGCGTTTAGGACTTGAGGGGTCCAGGGTCCTTGGGCCCATGTTTGCTTTCCCGAGTTCTAAGTGAAAAACGCCAGCAAGCCAACAGAAAACAGCAACCAACCCCGGAGGGCGGCTTAAACGGTTCCAGGGCTTACGGTGACTGTTTGGGGAAGCTCTCAATGAAGGCTGCCCAGTGGCTCAGGCGCCATGGCAGCAGATTCTCAGGAAGGGGGACAAGTGCTGCTTCAGTGCTAATGATTCCCTGGCACGGGTAGCTCAGCCAAGGCAGCGGGAGGAGGCGCATCGGGCTCAAGTCCACTAAAGCTGAGAACATCTGAGAACATCCCAACCTGCCCCCTAAACCCCAAGATAAGCTCCAACTGTAGGACATCTGGAAGGCAGGATGAGGCAGGAGGCAGGACAAGTGGACACACACCGGATGAGAGTCCTGGAGCTTCTGCAGAAGCGGAGGATTAAATCGGACTCTCTTCTCAGGATCTAAGAAGGCAGTTCCGGTTGCAACCACGCTGTGGGGCCATAAGGTTCGCCAAATCCATGGTCGTGTCGTCGCGTCTTTTCCAAGATCTGCTCTAGGTAGCGGCATCCAGACCGGATGAAAACAGCCATGAGTTCTCATGGCTGGCAGCGCCGCAAACTGGACTTGCACCCTATACATCCTACATCCTTCAGTGCAACTTGCACGTCGAATTGCTTCCCAGATGCTTTCAAATGGGCTGGAACCTGCCGGCAGACATGCCATGCCAAAGGGGATTCGGGAAGGCCTGAGCGGCCTAAACTCCCTGCTTTGCATGGATGGGGAAATGGCTTCGCCATGCTTGGCCCTTCCCTTGAGGATGGGGCCCTGCGATTGAATTGGGCCGCGACTCCTAAGTCACACATACGACACACAGCACCCACGGGCACCCGACAAGCTCGACCTCCTGCACCCCTGAATGTGAACAAGGAAGAAAAGTTGATGCTTTCTGTGCCGAAGATTGACGCGAAGCATGAGTCGCACACGGGTCGAAGTGTTCTAAAGTCAGAGTCCACGGAGTCCACTTTGGAACTTCACCCTTCGGACGATCCGTTGCCAAAGCCTGCAGAGTCTGACACTTCTCTTCCGGTCTCCAAGCGGCGCTTAATCTCTCTTCATGATCACAGAGGATTGGATGGCACTTAGGTTGGTACACAGTACACTCCGCTAAGCACAGCAGATAGAGAAGGGGAGGTGAACCGTTTTAAGAAGAAGTAGTAGTTGAGCGTGCCGATGCCCTTGTCGCTCAACCAGTTTGAATATCAAGTTGGGAATCGCAAGAACGAACCAAGTTCTACCAAGCTCTGAAGAGCGGCGTTTGTGGAGGGATGTTGTCAACAATTGCCTTCGGCTCAGGGCTTCTACATGCTTCAAGTTCCAACCTGAAAACGGGCATGGGCCCTCAGTCTACTAAGGTGCCTTGACCCAACGAGTTCGGCTCGACCACGGCGCCAGCCACGGCGGCCTTGGCGGGAAGAGTCTCGCGATGTGCTGACAGCATTTGGGCTTACTGTCGCCATGCTCGCATGTAGCCAACATGGCCCCCCTGAATGTTCCGCTGTGTACTGTGCCATCCAAACCCTGCCCAAATTATTTGCACCGTCTTGAAGGCTTCCCGGGTCTAAGCTGCTTCCCTTCAAAGGGTTCACAAGGTGTGCACACCAGCGTGCTGAGTTTGTAGCCAGGAGCTCGTCGACGCTTTGCATGCTCGATCGCCTTGCCGCTGCCG